GCAGGAGAAGAACGACCTCCAGCTGCAAGTGCAGGCTGTGAGTGATGGAAGTGTTCCCCCCTCTTGACCCCTCTGGGCCCCGTGGTCAGTGAGGTTGGGTTGGGCCATGAATGATGGAGATCCCCCCATTTGAATCCTCCTGACACCCATGGAGGAGCTCCAACTCCTGCCCTGTAGGCTTAGAAGAAGGGATTCCCCTATCCTTGAACCCCATGCTTCACCTATGAACCTATCACACTCTTTCTTTCCTTCATTCTCTCCATCTTTTTCTTCTTTCCTTTCAGGAGCAAGACAATCTTGCAGATGCCGAGGAGCGCTGCGACCAGCTGATCAAGAACAAGATCCAGCTGGAGGCCAAGGTGAAGGAGCAGACAGAGCGGCTGGAGGACGAGGAGGAGATGAATGCTGAGCTGACGGCCAAGAAGAGGAAGCTGGAGGACGAGTGCTCGGAGCTCAAGAAGGACATTGACGACCTGGAGCTGACCCTGGCCAAGGTGGAGAAGGAGAAACACGCGACGGAGAACAAGGTGAGGACAGAGACGGGAGTTTGACTTGCGATAAGTGGCTTCTAGACTATTGCGGTTGAGTGGTATCAAGGCTAGTTGGATTGAGGCGAGTGGCCACAAGGTTGGTTGGGTTGGGTTGGATTTCGTGGCCTGAGACCTGGTTAGACTGAGCGTTCTCAAGACTGGCTGGGTTGGATTGAGTGGCCTGTGGGATGTTTGGGTTGGGTTGAGTGTCATCAAGGATGGTTGGGTTGGTTCAGTGGCCTGAGGGATGATTGCGTTGGGTTGGTCAAGTGGGTTCAAGGATTGCTGTTTTGAGTTAAGTGGCCTCAATCCTCTGCCCTGCCATGAAGCCACTAATCTCCAACACTGAGCTTTGCCCATTGGGCCACCCAATATCTAAACCCACCTGATTTATCTACTTGCAGGTGAAGAACCTGACAGAGGAGATGGCCGGGCTGGATGAGATAATAGCCAAGCTGACCAAGGAGAAGAAGGCCCTGCAGGAGGCCCATCAGCAAGCGCTGGACGACCTGCAGGCCGAGGAGGACAAGGTCAACACCTTGACCAAAGCCAAGGTCAAGCTGGAGCAGCAGGTGGACGACGTGAGTACCAGCAGCCTGGGGATGGGGCTAAGGGGCTAGATGGCATTACTGATAGGTTATTACTTCCTCCCCGTTTGGTGACTCCTTAGACTCTGGGGGATTTGCGTCTGGAGAGGTTATCTCTGAGGGGTCCAAGTGGGGGTCCAGGGAGGGTGTCGGGGGGATCACAGAGCAGAGTGTCTCCGATGGAGGGTGATCCATCACTGGGGGGTTTCCCACTAAAAACATCCTGTTGAGCGGACCCCGGGTTCCTGGGTTCATTTTCTTTCTCTCTCAGTTGGAGGGTTCCCTGGAGCAGGAGAAGAAGATCCGCATGGACCTAGAACGGGCCAAGAGGAAGCTAGAAGGGGATTTGAAACTGGCCCAGGAGAGCATCATGGACCTGGAGAATGACAAGCAGCAGCTGGACGAGAAGCTGAAAAAGTAGGGGCCTCCTTGTGTCGCCAACCAGGAGTCCTGACTCCCAGCCCCTCTTTGCTCTAACCCCTAGACCCCACTCCCTCCCAGAGCCAGGGGTAGAATCCAGGAGTCCTGGCTCCCAATCTCCCACGCTAACCACTAGACCCCACTCCCCTCACAGAGCCAGAGAGAGAACTTGTTTTCTGTCTCCTTCAGGAAAGACTTTGAGCTCAGCGCACTGAATGCCCGGATCGAGGATGAGCAACTGATAGCTGCCCAGCTCCAGAAAAAGCTCAAAGAGCTTCAGGTGAGGCAGGCTGGCTTGTACATCACCAGAGTTGGGGTACAGAAATGCTCCCCACCTAGCTGGGCTGGTAGCAGGATGATCTCGGTGCTCATCGCCTCTCCAGACTTTACTCTGTGTTGCTTGGGGGTGTCTCCACAATCCCTCCCCCCCTTTCTCTCCGGTCGAGAATTAGGAAGGAGGAGCTCTCCTCCATCGAAAGTCTAGAACCAATAGAGACATTGAGGGTCCCCTCTTTTGTCTCTCAGGAAAATTCTCTTCCTCTCTGCTGTAGAACAGTATGCCCCAAAAGGGAGAAGATCTCATATTGGTCTGAGCCTATGGTCCTTTGCTTCTAGAACTTAGACTACTTTTATAATGATCTAGAATGCCTACATGTTTTATTTGGCGCTGTGGGGTCTAGATCTGTTTAAAGAAATGGGTTATCTGAGCTCTCTCCTGATTGAACAGGGAATCTCCAGAACCCGTACTATTCCTTCCCAGTTCTAGAATGTCCACCAGTCATTTTCAACATTGGGCGCTCTAGATGCTGCTAAGGCCACTTGCTTCTAGACTCCCCATGCTTTCCCTGATCTAGAACATCTACATTCTGTCCTTTGGAGCTGCGTGTTGTAGACCCAGTTCAGGCACTTTACTTCTGGAACCCAAAGCATTCTTTCCCATGACCTAGGATGTCTACATGCTGTATGTGAAACTGGGTGTGTGAGATCTGGCTAATGACCTTTGTTCCTAGAACTTTTCTATCGTATCTAGCATATGTCACGTTCCAGATTTGGCTGAGGACCTTTGCTCCTCTGTCCCACGTGTTCCTGTCTGCTCTAGCATGTGAGATGTTCTAGGCCTGTCTAAGCCCGTGGGTCTCTCTCCGGCTGCAGGCGCGCATCGAGGAGCTGGAGGAGGAGCTGGAGGCAGAGCGCACGGCCCGGGCCAAGGTGGAGAAGCTGCGCTCGGACCTGTCGCGGGAGCTGGAGGAGATCAGCGAGCGGCTGGAGGAGGCGGGCGGCGCCACCTCGGTGCAGATCGAGATGAACAAGAAGCGGGAGGCGGAGTTCCAGAAGATGCGGCGGGACCTGGAGGAGGCCACGCTGCAGCACGAGGCCACGGCCGCCACCCTGCGCAAGAAACACGCCGACTCGGTGGCCGAGCTGGGCGAGCAGATCGACAACCTGCAGCGCGTCAAGCAGAAGCTGGAGAAGGAGAAGAGCGAGCTCAAGCTGGAGCTGGATGATGTCAGCTCCAACTTGGAGCAGCTGCTCAAAGCCAAGGTGCCCCGGGGGCAGCCGATGGAGGGGAGGGGCCATGGGTAGTTGGAGGGGCTAAGGATGGAGGGGCCGATCATAGCTGTGAGGGCAGCATCAGTGAGGGAGGAGCCACTTCCTCCTACTTAGAACCGGTGCTCATGAGGGCCAGACAAAGGCAGGGAGGTGGGGCCGAAGCTAGTGGGCAGGGGGAGGTGCCTCTCTTTCTGCCGCCCTCCTGGTTTTTCGGGGTCTCCTTTTCCTGTCGCTCCTTCATTCTCCCGTTGGTTTCTTCCCCTCTTCCTTCCCTTCGCCGCCCCAACGTCTCCCCTTCCCCAGGCCAACCTGGAGAAGCTGTGCCGGACGGTGGAGGACCAGATGCACGAACACAGGACCAAGTCCGAGGAGGCACAGCGCATGGTGAACGACCTCACCACCCAGCGTGCCAAGCTCCAGGCTGAGAACGGTGAGTGGGGACCCCGCATCGCCCTTCACCCCTGGGACCCCCCATCGCTCTCCACCCTGGGACCCCCCATCGCCCTGCCCCCTGGGACCCCCCATCACCCTACACCCCTGGGACCCCCCCCATCGCCCTACACCCCTGGAACCCTGCACCACTGGTATCCCCTGCAAACTTGGGACCCCCCTCCCTGCCCCCTATGCCCCTGGGACTCCCCCACCCGCCTCTGAGAGTCTTGCTGCATCCTCCTGACCACCCCATGAGGGATGTGCCCTCTGGGAGCCCCTTCCTCGCCCCCCATGTCCCCTTCCTCCCCCCTGCACCCCACACGCCATGTACGAGCCCCTGAGCCCTCTAACCCTCCTCCCCGCCCTCTGCCCCTCCCTGGGGGACCCCCCAAGAGCTCTCTCCCAACCCCCTGCACTCCATATGAGGGATCCTCCCCCCGCACCTCTGGGAGCCCCCCTCACGGTCCTCGTGCACTGGGGTGAGGGGTGCGGGGTCCCCACGGAGGATGGTTCCCTATTCTCCCTTTCTGCCCTGCGCCCAGGCGAGCTGGCCAGGCAGCTGGACGAGAAGGATGCGCTGGTCAACCAGCTGACACGGGGGAAGCTGACATACACCCAGCAGCTGGAAGATCTCAAGAGACAACTGGAGGAAGAGGCCAAGGCAAGGGCTGGGCTAGCAGGGGGCTGCGGGTCGGGAGTGAGGGGCACCGGCAGAGCTGGGGGGGGCAGGGCTGGACGGGCAGGGGGCTGCGGGTCGGGAGTGAGGGGCACTGGCAGAGCTGGGGGGGGCAGGGCTGGGCTAGCAGGGGGCTGCGGGTCGGGAGTGAGGGGCACTGGCAGAGCTCTTTGTCCCCCCCGCCCAGGCGAAGAACGCCCTGGCCCACGCGCTGCAGTCAGCCCGGCATGACTGCGACCTGCTGCGGGAGCAGTACGAGGAGGAGACGGAGGCGAAGGCCGAGCTGCAGCGCTCGCTCTCCAAGGCCAACTCCGAGGTGGCGCAGTGGAGAACCAAGTATGAGACGGACGCCATCCAGAGGACAGAGGAGCTGGAGGAGGCCAAGTGAGTGCCAGGCGGCTTTCCCTATCGCCGTCTCCCTCCCTGCCTTCCCCCGGTCCTGGGAACTTGTCTAGAATGCTCTAGAGCCATCTGGAACATGAGGATCCCATGTGGCAGGCCAGTGTTTTGGATGTTTTCTCCTGGGGACTTGTCTAGAGCGGTCTAGAACCCTTCCATTCCCCCGTTCTTCCACTCCTGTTTGCTTTCACCCTCTCATTCAATCCCTCCTATTTTCTTTTTGTTCCCTTGTTCTCTTATTCTTTTGTGCTTTTTTCTTTCATCCGCTCCTCTTGTTTCTCTCATTCATTTTTTTTTTCACATTCATTCTCTTGTTTGTTTTGTCATTTTTTCTTTCTTTCTGTTGTTCTTTCATTTCTTGTTTTGTTTGTTCTATCTTCCCATCTCTCTTGCTTCCTTTCTTTCTCTTGGCTTTTCATTTGTTTGTTCTTTCGTCCGCCTGTTCTTTTTTCCTTTCATCCTTTTTTGTTCTTTTGTTCCTTCTTGCATTCCTTCTGTTTTTTCTTTTTTCCTTTTTTATTGTTTGTCTCATTCTTTTTCTTTTTTCCTTTCATCTTCTTGTTCTTTCTTTTTTCTTGTCGTTTCTTTCTGTTCATTCTTCCTTCCTAATTGTTTGTTCTTCCTGTTCATCCTTTCCTTCCCTTCCCTTCCCTCCCCTTTTCTTTCCTTTCCTTTCCTTTAATCCTCTCTTATGCTTGGTTCGACATTCCCACCATCTCTCCTATTTCCTTCCATCTTGTCCTGAAGTGAAGGTGTGTGTGTCTCTCTCTATTCCCCACCACGGACCAGAAACTCCTTTTGTCTTGAAGGGTCTAGAACATAAGGTTCCCATTCATCCCGTCAGTGTCTTGGTCATGTACAGCTGGAAGATTGTCTACAATGGTCTAGAGCAGTCTAGAATATAAGAATCCCACGTGTCAATCCAGTGTCTTGGTAATTTTCTACGGGGAACTTGTCTAGAATGGTCCAGACCATCAGGCCGGTGTCACAGGCATTTTTCTGCCGGGAACCCCCTGTAACTCCAAGGCTGAGGGAGGTGGGGAAGAGCCCAGGTCGCTCTTTGGTGACCAATGGTGTCTGTCGCCCCCCCGGTGGCAGGAAGAAGCTGGCGCAGCGGCTGCAGGAGGCGGAGGAGGCTGTGGAGGCCGTGAACGCCAAGTGCTCGTCGCTGGAGAAGACCAAGCACCGGCTGCAGAATGAGATCGAGGACTTGATGGTGGATGTGGAGCGGTCAAATGCTGCCGCAGCTGCCCTGGACAAGAAGCAGAGAAACTTCGACAAGGTGGGACTGGGGGAGGGGAGAGAGAGGGGGAGAGAGAATGAATGAATGGATGAAACAGAGCAAAGAAAGAATGAAACAGGGCCAAAGGAAGACAGAATAAAACAGAACTAAAGAAATGAAGCATGAATTGAATAGAGGCGAGGAAAGAAAGAAAGAAAGAAAGAAAGAAAGAAAGAAAGAAAGAAAGAAAGAAAGAAAGAGGTAGAGCCGCAGAAAAATTGACTACAAAGCCAAAAAATAATAAATTAAATAAAATCAAGGAAGGAAGGAAGGGATAAAACAGAGTGAATGAATGAAATAGATCAAAGAAAGACTAGAAGGAAATAAAGAAGGAAACAGAGCACAGAAGGAATGAAATAGAGCCTAGGAAAGAAAGAAGCAAAACCAAATATAAATAAAATAGAACAAAAGAATGGAACAAAAGTAAAAATGGACTAGCGGGAAGGAGCCAAAGAATGAGGGCATGAAGTACAAAGAAAAATTGAATAAAAAGCCAATGAACAAATGAATGAAACAGAGCAAAGAGGGACTTAAATGGAGGCAAAAGATAGATAGGGTGAAAGATGGAAAGAAAACGAAATAGAGAGAGCCAAATAAAGAATGAGTGAATGAAACAGAGCCAAAGAATGAATGAAATAGAGCCAAGGAAGGCAAAAAATACTTTTCAGCAACCACCAATTGGGTATTTTTCAGCAGAAAACATTCTCATTTGGGTTGCTAAGAGGTGAAAAAAAATTGTTTCCCCGAAAAGTCAACATTTCCACCCCCCTCCCATCTCGTTCGCCTTTCGAAGATGGGGAGACCATAATATCTCAGAGCTTACGAGGTGACTTGATCATGGTCTACAACAGGGATCGGCAATCTTTGGCACGTGGCGCGCCAGGGTAAGCACCCTGGCGGGCCGGGCCAGTTTGTTTACCTGCCGCGTAGGCAGGTTCGGCCGATCACGGCTCCCACTGGCCGTGGTTCGCCGCTCCAGGCCAATGGGGGCAGCGGGAAGTGACGGCCAGCACATCCCTCCTCCCACGCCGCTTCCTGCAGCCCCCATTGGCCTGGAGCGGTGAACCGCGGCCAGTGGGAGCCGCGATCAGTCGAACCTGCGGACGCGGTTACGACATGTTCAGACTAGAAATAAGGTGCAAATTTTTCACGGGCACAGGAATTAACCCTTAGAAGAGCCAGCCTAGGCCGACGGTGGCTTCTCCGTCACTTGGCATCTTTAAATCAAGAACTGGCGTCTCTTAAGACATGTTCTAGCTCAGCTGTCAGATATGGGCTGGAGACATGGGTGACTGGGCTTAGAAGCTACGGAAAGGGGGAGAGACCGAGGACAGGGAAAGCAGGAAGGAATGAAAAGCCAGAGGAAAGGGGAGAGAAGGGAGAGGGGCCCAGAGCAGGGAGTTTTCTCCACTGAGCAGAAGGCTCATCCATTGGGGTGACTCTCTCAC